TCAATATTTTAGGTTATAGCCTGTTGATTTTAAGTCACTTGTATTAATTAAAGATCTTCAAAATTAACTAACTGGGGAGGAGAAAAGTAAAGTAGGGACTGGGTTGATCTCCATTTCACAACACAGAGTACTAACCACTATGATCACAGTGATCTCCATTTTAAAGATTCTCATTTTGAGATTCCAGGTATTTTTTCAGTTGGGAAATTCCCACTGTCGCTGACTTGATTGGTTGAAAAGTAGAAACGTAAATATTTTCTCTGTCAAGTCATATCTAAATGTTACCTTTCTCATAAACCATAATGAAATTGACATTTTTCTGAAAGTTATAAGTGAAAGTTTTAAGTGAATTTCAAACTTTTTAAAATTTATTTTAAAGATGTGGGGTAAATTCAGGATTAGGTACATAAGTAATCATCATACAGGTAAAGTTTGGTCCCCATTTCACCTAGTTTGGGATAAGGTACCCTTATTGATGTCAAGCTATTTTTAAAGAGAAAGATAATATAATTAATAAAGTGGCTACTGTCCTCAAGTACCTCCCTTTTTCAAAAATTTTCTTGCTAAACTGTTAGACCTGGGATTTCTTCCAGGTCTTTTTGGGTTTTTGTCAGTAAATGACTTTGCAACCATCCTTTCAGGAGACGTTTTGGAGGCTTTGCAATTCATGGAGTGCTAATAAAGTAACATTCTTGAAAGGCAGAACATGGATTCTGTGCTGCTGCCCTCACTTGACAACAGAAATCCAAGAGCATGCTGGTGATTTGTACAGAGGTTTTCTGGTATTTTTGTTTGTTTGTTTGTTTTTTAAGTGATTGCCTCTTTACCTCTCTAATTTAAGGGAGCACTATTATGCTACCCTGAGACTTCACTTTAGTATAATTTCACTGAATGATATATAGAGTGCTCATCAGATCATGGGCAGGATCTACGAATACCAACAAATTAAATATCTCTATTTACATGAATGACGAACAATAGGGAAAATGGTCATCAACTCGTGGTGCTCCTTTTAGCAATTCTTATCTGGATGGAATTGCTTCTCTTCTCTTAGATGTAAAATGTAGAGGTTACTGCCTTATACATAAGGGTAGAGAACTGAAAATTTGTCCATCAAGAACCACAAATCAATAAATCTAATGATCTCACTACTAGTGCTATAATTGAGCTAAGTCATCTTAAACTGGGCACTGTTCCTGAGGTTCTTTGAAGCATGCTCACTGTTTCTTTGAGTAAAATTGAAGACTGACCTCCATTTACAAGAACACAGAGGCAAGGCTCATAAATACTAATATTCTGTACCAAGATCTTTGGAACAGGACCATTTCACCCAGGCCTATAAATGCTCAATGCACGATTTAACTAAGCAGAGAAAAGAAGGTCTTGCCTGGGTGCTCCAGCTTTCCCAGTGACCCAAAGGCTCCTCAGTGTTTCAAAAGTGTACTGCTCAATAAAGGTTGTTAATTACCTTTTTATGTCTATTTCTTAGAAGGCAAATACTTAGCAACTAACAGCCCCACACTAATGTAAGTACATATCAGTAACACAAGGATAAGACCCTTTGAGAAATGTCTGTAGAGGATGCTGGAGGATATGGAGAGAAGTAATAGGTCATGTGACATAAGTGGGAAGTATAGAAACAGTTTAACAAGTAAATGCACAGGCGGGGAATTGGAAGATACAGCCTGGCCAAAACTGAGTGGACAGTCAGGAGGCTTTGTCCCCAGTATAGTTTTGGCTCAAAGCACAAACACAATAGGCAGTGTTGGTGAACTGGCATCAAATTTGTGATTCTCTTTGAGATATCAGAGATTAACTTACACTTAAAAGCTCCCCCTCCCCCCCCCCAGTTTAACTAGTATTTAGAACAGTATGGTGTTCAGAGCCTGAAGTAAAGCAATTCAGCGATTCTTCAAATGGTACCCATAAAATCATACATGATTACAAATTAGGCATTATTGTGGTTGTGCTTGTTGTATTGTTATACTCAAGGCCCCATTGATGCTCCTAGAAAGCTGAACAGCTCTAGTAACCAGTGGGATTTAAGGACACCCATGTTGAAACACATTATTGATAACAACAAGCTTTCCACAGAGTTGGAGGTTTAGACTAGACCTTATTTTTCTATTTTCACATAGCAGTGAGTTCTCCACATGTCCATGAAGAAAAGGGACACTGGGTTTGGGCAGGAAGGCAGAGAATGGTAAGAGCTGTAATGTTTAACACATTTGGTGTGTGAGAAGGCATGGCAATGTGGGGAAGTGGGAAGAGAGTCAGAAGACCTGGGTTCATGTTTTGCTTCTGTTCATGCTAGCTTCGTGATCTTAAAAGTGGCCCTGACACTGAGCCTCAGTTTCTTCGTCTGCAAAATTGGAATGATTAATTGGGAGTAAAAGCTAAGTGAAATAGGGCCCTTTGAAAAGGCTCTGTAAGTAAATGAGTGATGATTGTTCTTCCCTCAATATGAGTTTTCCACTTCAACACGTGGCATTTCTTCTGTTGGCTCAGCCCTGGTTCTCCTCAAATGCCCTGCAAATGGGTCCAAGACCTTGTGTGCTGGCAGCTCATTTTGAGACCTGGACCTTAGGAACCTTCACTGTCTGCCTCTTTTAATTCTTCCCTGCATTTCCCTTTATGGGAATGTTAATCTTTGGACTTTTTCTTTTAAAGACAAGCTAAAGAAAACACCAGAGGACACTGTGATTCCCTTTGGGAGTCTGAGCAGTCTGTCAGCTTCCATGGGTTTGTGCCCTATGGCCCAGAGTCAACATGCCACGTCGAGCTTGCTGCTGACTCTGTCCACAGCTAGTCCTAACAGAGCTCCCTGCCCATCTGGAACAGGGTGTCAAATCCTGGCCTGCACTCACAAGCACAATTAAGAATAGTCTTGTTGAAAACAACTGTTAAAAGGCAAAGTAGGATTTGGATCTCATCATATAAAACAATCTTAAGTAATAATCAAATGGTGATTTGATGCATGAATTTGTACATTTCAAAGCATTTACCATTTTAAATAGAAACCTGTTTACAAAAACATATAGCAAAGACTGTATCCCGTGAAACTTTTAATCTTGCAGTGTTCATAAATCTTTATGATGAATATCTTCTAAGCCTATGTTTCAATGTCATCTTTAATGAAAGTTAATAAATTGATATATATTTCACTATCTCACAGTCCCTTGAAGTGGAAGTTTACCCAGCAGAAGTGAATGTGAAGGCTAAGCCTGCCCTTTCCATTTCTGGGTATACTAGTTAGGAAGAGTACAAGGGGTTTGGGAGGTATAATTCTTCCATGGTCTCAATTGGAAAGGAGAACCAGTTATGGATAAGCATTGGGCCCCTCATCACAGTAGGGGAAACAAAAACCTAAAAAGGAGCTGCCTTTTGACTACTTTTAAAAATTATCCTTGACAACTGAAATTTCAGTTGTGGATTGAACAGACTGACTCTTAGGTTCCACTGCTTTCTCTGACATCTTTTCATTATAGTCTTAGCAATTGTCATGTCAGTATAAACATAAGTGAAAGCATCTTTGAAAAGGTGCCACTCTTGGAGAATGAGCAAGAGGGATCAACTTTCACTTGCTTTCCATCCTGGCTTGATTCCCACCTTGCCCACCCACCCTTCCCAGCTAGGCCAGTGCCGCCAGCACATTTGGCCCTGAATCAATCATGTCAGAACTTCAACACAGAGTGTTGGGTGTCATTATCTGGCTGTAACATGTCCCTTTGGAAGTCATAAGCAGGTGCTGTTGAGTCAAGTCCACATGTTTATTGGTCAGCTACTATGTTTTAGGACTATCCCAGGCACTGGGTAGCAGGGAGATGTGTCAGAGATACCTCCTGCCATTTTAGAGCTTATGCTCCTAGTAGGAAAAAAAAGAGGAGTGCACAAAATGGCTACACTTTTTGGCAGGATGTAGAGACTGTTGAATGAGGACAACCGAATGGAAGGTGCTGAAAGCTGAAGAGTTTTAACTGGAAAATAGTCTTTCCTTGACATGGTCTGGCATTAGAAGAGTGAATGAGACTTCTGGTTGATGTAGGTGATGGGAGGGGGCCTTTCAGGTCAAATTAACAGGGTTAGCAGAGCCATAGAAATAAAAAGATACAACCTTTTTGGTCCACATGCTTAAAAGTAAACCTGCTACTTACCCATCTCTATCAGTGATGCTTCTGCCTGGTTGCTTCATGGGAAGATTGAAGCTCTTTCATTAGATTTAGGCTACTGGTTCCTTGAGATCAAGGACTATGTATTTTTCTCCCTTTATTATGTCCTCGATGCCTGGGAGAATTTTTTAATGTAGTGATTGAAATGCTTATATCATTACAAACTATATTTTATATATGTTTGCAACCCCAAGAAAGTCTTTTCAATAAAAATTTCCACAGTCCTTCATATGACCTTTAAGCATTATGCCTGCTCGGATATTGATCAGTATGACAACCGCTCCATGCTATGGTCCATGATGCCCTGTGGGTGCTTGTGTGTTTTAATCAGGTGTGATTCTAACTGGCCAAAGTCATACAGGAGATGGCAGATTAGAGAGAGGAAAGGGGAGGACCCAGAGACAGATCAGAAGATGCCAACTAGCAGGGTGGGTGAAAAAGCTAGTAGAGGTGGTGACAAGTTATAATTAAGCATTAAAAAAAAAGGCGGTAAGCCCTTAAGACATTATGTGAGTGTAATGATGTAAATAGCAGAGCATGGGAGAAGGTAAAATAATATGGAGCATGGTAGAAGGATTATTAAAAAGCTTTGAAATGAGTCAAATTAGATTCATGAACTGAACCACACTAAAAATATTTTCTTGATGTTGAAATGTAGTATTGACAGCTAAAGTTGAAATATGTTTGTTATATTTCTGTTTCGTGTTAAAATAAAGATGACAGCAAAGCTTTCATTTTGTTCCCTTGGAATTGTAGGGTACACAATGCCTTGTAAATGTCAAAAGGATGGATAGGCAGTATTTGATTTTTCCCTTTGCTTTCTCACTACAGGAAATACCAGAAATAGCCCACCGCCCTACGGGTTTCGTCTCTCACCAGAAGAAGAAATGAGGAGACAGCGGCTTCATAGATTTGATGGCCAGTGAAATCGTTCAGTTGTGTAATTATTACCCATTATATTCCCCAAGCCTCTAACTTTTTTAAACAAAAGAAGAAAACACCATTATTGTTTTAGATTGCTCACGTCTGTCTTGGACCATCTAGAGTGTAGATTCACAAGCCACATTGACTTGTTCTGAAACCAGACTTGTTGAATGCAACTCCCAGCTTTCTGGGAGTGGCCCTTCTCCTAGCCTTGTTCTCTCCACAAACAGAAGGTCACTTTCTCAATGAGGGAGTCAGTTTCCACACTTCATTTTCTCACTGCTTACTCAGCAGCGTCTCTGCCTTGTTTTGCTTTTGAAGACTTTGACTTTCACCAGGAGGTTTTATTTCTACCAGTCGGGAAGATAGTCCCTCATTCTGCCCGGGGTGTCTCATGTTTTATTTGGCAGGAGGTGAAGAGCCATCCCTGTGTCCTTCTTGCATGTAGCCATGGTGGCTGTCCAGGAACAGGATGTGGCTACCTTGGCAGCATGTATTATTCTCCCTGGCCCAGGCACCTCAGCTCCTTGGCCCCCTGCATCTTGGTGGTGTTTACAGTATACTTGCTCTGCTCCTGTGTTGCTCTGCCTCTATAGGATGTTTTATTGAGATGCTTAAGAAATACCTAAGGTGGGAAAAATACCCACACATTACATTAGGTATCAGGTGGCACCAGTGACATAGGTTCCCAGCTGCCTGTCCAGTGGCAGTATGTACACCTGGGAGATGGGACTTGTCATTTAACTAATCAGCAAAGTAGCAGCAAATGCCACATACAGACTAGAGTGAAGGCATTCAGTGGGTTGATCACTAGAAATCCTTCTTGCAAAAAGTATTTTTTTCTCATAAAAATGCCTCTTAATTAACCACTGTAATAGCCACTTGTCCAGGCCAAGTGTCCAAAAAACAACCCTGGGCCCTGCAGTGTTAAAATCCAAATTCTCTGTCCGAGTCATTTGAGGTGTTTCCTGGTACTTGTGTTTGCTGAATAAAAGAACAAAGTCAAAACATCACTGATGTTGTATTGTCACAGAGAAACTTATTTTTAAAGAGAGTTAGAAGCAGAAAAGGAATGGATCAAAGACCTAAACATAAAACCTAAACAAAACAAAAAAAAGCAGAAAAGGACTCTCCTTTCTTTATGTAATTACCATTAAATGCAATTTTTTGATTATGTAAGTAATAGTTATGCTTTTTATATGCACAAAACAAAAATCTGAAAGGGGGCATATGTAAATGTTAGCAGAGATTATCTTTGGGGTGGAGTACATGGGATTTTGCTTTCTGCTTTTTTACAGTTTTATATTGTAGTCTTTGAAAAACATGTTTGTGTATGTGTAGTATTTTTGTAATCAGAAAAACTTATTTATATAACTATAAATCAAGAAATATATCATCAGGAAAATAGACTTAAAAATAAGTCCTTTATGTCCATTGTGTGAATTTTCACAATACAAACAGAAATTCAAATAAATGCATACACGATTTTAAAAATCACCTGTATTCCCACCACTTTAGAGGTACTCAGGGTTAACATTCTGGGGGCACTGCCTTCTCTTTTTTTTTGTATACATTTGACAATTTGGAGCATACTGAGTATGCGGTTTTGTACCCAGTTCCTGATCTGAATCTACCTAGGTGAGGCAGAAGCCCTAACACTTACATATAAATGAGCTAAGGCAACCACTGGAGTCCTGGAAGCACTTGACCTCCTGACTGGCACAATGATACCTGAGCTCTTTTGGTTAATTTAAAATTGATGTAAAATCATAGCTTGTTTATAACATAAATTGTACCTGTGAATCTGAAAGTTTTAAACGTGTTTAAATTTAAATGTTCATGCTAAATGTCTTTCCTCTCTCCCAAATTCTATAAATTTGACTCCTATTACCCCAGTTAGAAGTAACTTCTTTCTTACTTACCATCTTTTTATAGCATGTGGCAATTCTGTATAATTTTCATATATTGCCCTTATTATTATTTGTGCACAGCTATACAGCAGTGTGCCTTCTACATGGGAACGTGGATTGTAAATGACTCTAATGAGGCTGTGTCTTACTTATCTTTCCCTTATCACCTCCTTGCACCATCCAAAGGCTCATGGTAGGGGCCATTAAATGTCAGTTTCCCACCAAAGTGTTTTTTCAAATGCATTAAAAGTCCAAGTACTGTATATTAGAAATGCTTTCATTTTTTGTATATTGCTTGAGTCCGTTAGTAGCACCTCCTTGCTCCATTTGGCTTGTCAGATTTGAAGACACCAGGATTAGCTTTTGGGTGGTATAACTACAATATACACATCTTTATTTATGGAGTAGAACACCACTAGACTTTTAGTGATGTGGGAAAGGTCATTTTAGTTATAAATATAAACCAATTATTTGAGCACAACAGTAATGATGCTCTGGAAATTATTATTTTTAGTGAATAGGCTTGCCTATAACAAGTACTTACTGTTTTCAATGCCTGTTTTATTTTTTTTTCTATAATAAGGAATCCCAAAGTTATGCCAACAAACTGGAAATGGGTTGAGAAAGACAAACAAAAGCAAGTGAGCAAGTGTATTAGACTAATTATCTCTAATAGGGAATAAGTACTTATAGCTGATTTTTGAGTTTAGTTTCTTTGTTTAATAGTCATTTCCTGATTGTCTGTTAAGCCCCCAGTTCCCACAGTTTGGTGTGATCTCTTAACTTAAGAGATTCCTTTATTCAGAATCTTTCCCTTGGTTTTGAAAAGGAGGAAGTCATTAAATTTGCTTCCTCTTAATGACTTCAAATGTATCGCCTGGGATTCCAAAATTGTGCACAATTGTTCAAGCCTCCTCCATCCTTTAAATTGCCTGTTGGTGAAGTTCAAACTAAGCAGTAAATAACTAATCTTAGTAGAATTGGAACCAGTCTACATATTTGGCACATGTTCTGCTGCCTGGGAAGTAAGCTAAAGGGATGAGAGAGAGAGCTGTCCCAAGTGTGGTAGGGCAGTGTGAGGGGCGGAGGGGTAGGCAGACCTGGCCTTGTTTCCCTTCTTAGTTTTTCTTGAGAGATTTGGTATTTAGTAAAGAATTGTATTTAATTAGTCACAAAAAAGACTATCATTTATTCCTTTCCCTTCCCATGAATCATTGCTGTCATTTCCTAAGTTTGTTTCTTTTTTTTGCCCATAATATTTCATTTTAGAATCACAGGCGCTCAGCTTAGAAAGACCTAAAAATATCTCAGTTCATTGCTCTGCTCAATACTTAAAATACCTCTTCACTCAATTCTATATAACTCCGCCAGGTTTGTCTTCCAAAATCCACTTTCATGATGCCACTCATCATCTCAAGTACCTTTTATTGTCTGTCTGTTGCAAGAGGATAAAGGTCAAAGTCATTAGCCTCAACAGTGGGGCTCTACCAGCCTTTGGACCTCAGCCCTATTTATCTGTCACAGTCTGCTCACTGGTCTTACTGCCCAGGCTGTGAGTTTACCTGATCCTGTGGCATTTTGTGCCATGCTTTTACATAAACAGCCTTTTCCTCTCTCTCAATCCATCAAGATCAAATCCTTCCTGCCCTGTCCCCTGACAGAAGCTTTTACCAGACCACAAGATCTACCTAGCTTCCACAAGCTGCTTGGAATTGCTGGCTGTCCTGCGATGAGAGATGTCTGTCTTTTGCAAGCTTCATGAGGGCAGTTACCATGACTGTGTTTCTCTGTCTTTCCTCTTCATGCCCTGAGCCGTGCCTTGTCTGGAGTGTCAGAACCAATAATTACTTGTGGTTTGAAACAAAGAGAAGCTCATTTATACTATCACCAGTGGTACACATGTTGTGTTACTTATTGATATTATTACAGGTTTTTTTTCTTTGACGCCCATCAGGGAAAGAATAATTTGAAGGAAAGCATTTGCTGATAAAAGAAGAGACTTTTGAGGCTTTCCCAAGTCTTCATGTGATAAACATGCTTACTGATCAGATGACACCAACCTCATGTGTCAGTCTGAAGACACATCCCACTGCTTCAAATGCTGTGACACAGTATACCAAAACTCAAGATTCCAGTACAACTGAAAAGTATCACCAAGGTGTCCCTGTGACTAGCACCCCGTGACTGGCCACTGTGGTTTTTGTGTGTCTGTGCTAATATTTTTGTTTAGTTTTGTTTTTCCTTCTGTGGTATTTAGGGGCAGGGAAAGAACGATCTTAACATCTTAGCCAGACAGCAGGGATGAGCTGGCAGGTTTGGACATATGACTTATACGTTATCAACAAAAACTGAAACATTGCTGATAGAAACCATTAGATTGGATGGTAATAACTTATTGCTGCTTGGGAAGATGGTAGTGTAATGAAGTCCATAGTATCATGTGTCTTAGAGGCTCTTGGAATCTGGAACACTCACCAGCCAAACTTGAGAAACAATATTTCTGCTCTATGGCCCTCTGGATGCAAACTGTAGGTCCCTTCTCTAAAATATTGAAAAGCCTAGAGGGAAGTGCTAAAACAAAAATCAAACCAATAAAAGCATGTAACTTAATAGTTGTTGTTGTTGTTTTGGTATTTATTTGAGAGTCTTACAAGTTATTATCTCACTTTGACCTTTAAATGCTGTTTCTTTATAAGATCCTCTCCCTCAACAATTTAAATCTATCTTGCATAGCCTTAGTAGCAGTTAATTATTAACACAATTGAACAAGGTCTTCAGAATCTCATTACAGAGTAACACCAAGGCCAGTCTCCCTGCTATTCAGAATGCGCACCCAGGGCCAGCAGCACTTGGGAGCTTGCTACAAATTCATACTCCTGCTCCCCAGATCAAATTATCAGAATTTGCATTTTCACAGGTCCCAAGTGGTTCATAGGCACCAAAGTGCTTCTCAAATTTCAGTGTGCATGAGTGCACCATTGCACCATTGATTTCATGTATTATAAAGTAGACTGAGGCTGGCGTGATAGCTTACAACTATAATCCCAGCACTTTAGGAGGCTGAAGTGAGAGGATTGATTGCTTGAGACCAGGAGTTTGAGACTAGCCTGGGCAACATAGCGAGATCTTATTCTACAAAAGATTTAAAAATTGGCCAGGTGTG